ACAAAGGTATATTTAGACAGACCTGAAGTTAACTTTTCTAATACTGTAGTCTGGCTAAAGACGATGTAAGGAAAAAACAATTCCCTTATGTAGTACAGCTCATTATATTAGCTTTAAGTAGATTGAACAATAGAAGCCTAGAACCAAAATCCATTCTACAGCAGGAACAGAATTACTGAAATCTTCTCTACTTGAGTACTACATTTAAAGATAATAAAATGTCCAGATATCTTCAGTTTCATCTACAATGGCTAACAAAGAAGACATTTACACATCATTTATACCTTTAGCAGAACACCTCACTATCAATGTTGTAAAGACAGGGAAGGACATGGAAGCAGAAAGCTTGATTCATTAGGAACAAAGGACTTGGAGCAGATCTCCAATAATATCACAGCATGAAAACTGGTTCACTTGCATTCTTCCTTGCTAACAAAATTTCCCCCCCATTTTTAAATAGCAACAGTACTTTCACAACATTAAATTGTATGAGTAGGATTCAATCATCATTCACTGTCTGAATCAGCATTTATCTCTTAAAATTATTGTATTTGGAAGAAGAGTGAAAAAATAGAAGTGGACAAAGCAACAGTTTATCAAAACAAAAAAAATTGCTAGATGATGCAAAGAACTTGCTGCAGATTAAATTCACCATTAAATGCAACTTTTCACACTGGAGAAGCAGCATCTTCATGAATTTAATAGAGCTGGCAATGAAGTATTTTCTATATTAACTGCATCCTTTTAACACAGTTATGAATTCCTGAGACAGGAGTTCACAGCATAAACTTCTGATTCGCATGAGAGTTTTTTTTGTTTTCAACACAAATAGAAAAAGTAACACCAGCAATTAAATATAACACTAAAAGTGATAATAGGTAAAGACTGAAAACTCATGGGGTAGATAAAATCTTCTGTTATAAGGCATAGAACACGCAATTCAAATAATATCTTAATGTTCATTTTTTTCAGTTTTACAGCCACTGATATATGAGGCTAGGAGAGTCATTATTAATGCAGACGGTATACAAAAACTAAATGAGAAACACATAAAAGTTGGAAGAAAAGAATCAATGCTGACATTAATATAAGATTTTTTTTAAAATAAAATCAAGAAATAATGGTAGTATCAAGCATCTATACAAGTTTATCTTTGGTTCTACTTCATAAAGAAGAAAGCATTTTCTGTCAATAACACCACCTTTAAATGTAAAGAAGCTTTATGCCTTTGACTCCATTAGTAGAAACAAATACTGATAAATGGCATGGAACAATGCTTGGCACAGTCATTTTTAATGATCAGCTTGTTCATCGATAACCTTAAATCACCCTTTTCCTTACAAGACAAGAGCACTAAGTCTTCTTGGGCTCAGCAGTAACAGCAGACCTGGAGTCTGACGTGGCAGTGGTCACACACACAACAGCAATGAATTTATGTTCCATAATAACATTTTTGCTTATGAAATGTTAATTATAGAAAAAATCATTAATGGTCTTGTTTACAGGGAATGAATACCAGCATCTAACAAACCCAATTTACCAATGACACACTGCCAACAAATGGTGATTCACCAACTAAGCGAGCGAATTAACAATCATTTTTCTTACAAAAGAACAGTAGACAAAAATATAACTTGGCAGTATTTCCCTCTTGTTAATGTGGACACTAATTAGAATAGTTATATAAAAAAGATCTGAATTAAATATGTCAAGGTCTCAGAACTGTTTGAATTCCTCTTTGCTTAATTAATCCAAATATTTAAATTAGCTTCTTCATGTAATTTGGTGTTTCAACCAGAATCCTGCAGAATCCCACAGATAGGCATATAAAATTATTATTTGCAGACTGCTTATGTAGCTCCCTTTTGAAACCTGCAACTAATATGAAGATGTAATCCCTTTATGCAAAACATCTTTAAGAAACATGGTCTCTGTTAATTAGCCAAGCACTCATCCTATTCTCTAAGTGACTGCCAGATCTCACATAGGAGACAACTTATTAGATTTCTGATTCTTTTCTTCATTGGTAAGTCTAGACTATTCACACAAACTACATTTCAGCTAAAACTTCTTCTCTACTTTTCCCAGAAATTAAGGAAAAAAAGTGTTTTGGAAGCTGCAGTGATTAGCAAGTATCCAAAGTTTTGTTTTAGAGAAACCACATATTTTCAGCACAGAAAGCAAACACTGCTGCATGCATTTGCTCATTTTAGTTCTCTTTAAGTTCTCTTTAATTTACATCCCTTGCAGCATCCACAGAGTGCTCTGCATATAGTGTTACTTTTATTTGAGTTCCGTTTCACAGGACAAACTGTGGTTTTCATTGTTTTCCCTAGAATCCTAACATTTCAGCTTTGTAGGCTTTCATAACAAGTATTAATTTTCTCCAGGAATACATTCTCCCTGTGTTTTACTGAGATGGAGCAGCCACAATTTTAGCACAACAGTGAGAACTGAATGAAACCCAACACCATCTTTAGTGCAAATGGCAAGTACATCTTAGTCTCCCTGTCCTTAAAAAACAGTGTGGCAATACTGTTCAGCAATAGGGAAAAAAACCAACAAGATATAAAAATAAACCATAAAAATAAATCTTTTGGTGGGGTCTAAAAATGGAATTATGAGTTTTACCACGGAATCCAAAGGTACAATGCATTATCTTCCATGTATTCACAAATTACAGAAAATTTCTATCTAACTAAACTAGACAGGCTATTGTGGCTTTCCATTTTTAAATGGATTGATATTATTAATTCCAACTTCCTGTTTCACCTTCTTTTCTGATCTAACCTAAGTTCAGAGAATTATATTTACAAATTAAAATGATCCTTGTCCCTCAGTGGAATTTTTAAGCCCTTCTTTGTAACCTGCACATGGTAACAAAAATCTCATGTGAATAGATTCACGATTTCTTCAAGATGAAATGAGCTCCAAAAAGTCATGTTACCCCATTTGCACTATCATAGTTTTGAGGCAATTTGTAATTACACTGTCTTCTTGGCAAGTGATGGAAGTAATATCAATATTCTTTATAAGCAAATCAGTCTTCCACAGAAAATCTTCTAGACACATGGCAAATTGTGAGCACCCATGGGAACAAACAAAGATCTGTGCTGGGATGTTCCATCACTGTCAATATACTTGACATGATTTCAAAAATCTAGCCAGCACTGGGAAGCAATAAGTCCTACAAATCTTTTTATGTCACAAACTGTATGACAGTTGCATTAATTACAAATAAAATATCCTACAAGAAGTAAAACCATTCAGATGACAGGATTTATCCTTTACTTTTTAAATGGGGCTTCAGGGTAAACATGCCAAACAGACACACTCTCAGTATGAAAGAATCAAAAGGGAGATGGAAAGTGTTTACTGGAACTAAAAAAAAATGAAGTTCTAGTCATATTTTATTGTCTGTAATGCAATTAACGGGGGCAAGGCAGGACTGCTAAGAGAGGCTGTGGCTGTACTGCTGGACAGCTTACAATTGCTACTACAACAAAAATTACAAAGTATTATAACATCACACCCAAATGCACCACAGAAATAAAGTGGAAGAGAAAAAGAGATTTTCTTTACTTTCTCTCCAAAACAGAGGGCACAAATGTAATGCTCATAAAATATGGTATTTATTAGAATGAAGAACTGAGTCTTAAGAAAGTGATAAAAAGGTACTAAAGAGTCTGCTACACAGCTCCAGACAGTTAAGTTTTCATATCACTGCCATGGATCGTGTTGTGAAGTCAAAGAAATAAAAAGAGAAAAAAACCCTAATAGCTCAAGATCTAATGTAATAAATTTACTCCCTTAAATGGCAAGTAGTTGCTTTAATGGAGATAGGGCTGCAAACACCAATAGGTTAGCAAAAGGCTAGCAACCTTCCAGGATATATTTTTTTGCAAATATAATAGCTAAAACTGATAATAAAATTTGAATTGACATATCCATAACATCTGCAGACTCATATATATAACACTATAAATAGTCTTCCAAAAATGGAAGTGGGGGTTTTTTTTTGCCTGAAAAGAAATTATGCTGTATCCCATTTTTCACAATACTTATACAGAATAACAGATTCTTTCCATGAGGAAATTGTCACCAAATCACTGGACAGAAGTGGTTAAAACATAGCTAACAAGCAATTTACTGCTATCATTTTACTTACGTAGTTGGACAATTGTCCCAAATAGAATTTAATTCATGATGCTACTCTGAGGACTATTTAGTACCAAATGCTTCAGAGGCAAGTCAAAGAAACGTCAGAATAACCTAATGATTTATTGGTAAACTTATGTAAGAACATTTAAAAAGCATAATCTGTGAAAGTCAAATTGAACTCCATTTTACGCATACCACTTTGAACTGATTTTGCCATTTAGTATGTCCCTTATACTATTTCCAATTAATGGAAAAGATTAATAAATTCAGCAACCTCAGAAACAGCAATATGGTCATTAGTTTAAAGCTCATGTGCACTTAACACAAGTGTAACTATAGAATATTCTGACTCCAGACTAGCTGCAAAGGCATCGCTGAGCACTGAACCTGACATACTTACTTTAGACAGTATTTATTATAGTAAGAGTAATACTCTCCCTGTGTGTCACATTATATCTGGTAAATATACAGGTTTAAATGCAAATTGAGAAACAGTCCGGAAAGATCTGATTAAGAAGAGAAAAATGTGCTTTGTGCTAAACAATAACAAATATGTTACTTTCAAACTGTCAAAAGGTGAAAGTCTGTAGGGCATACAAGTATGGAGAGACTTAGTATAATGAGCAAGCGAAATAAGTTATCCTTTCAAACTTCTTAATACATTATTTTTGAAAATAAAATTTAACCTGCTAACTTAGTAAAAACAGTTCATGTGTATTTGTGAGGTTAAAATTCTTTAAACAACTTCTACCTATAGTTACCTAAAACCAACTGGTATCAAGGAGTTTAACCACATAAGCTGATAAACTACATGTGAAACCAAATATTTTATTTCTAACCTCTGCTGCCAGTTGCTGAAGAGAAGGGGATGCAACAGGGTGTAAAGTTGAGTTGCCACTGACTGGATTATGGAGGCTAATGTAAGCCACAACATTTCTTTGAAGAACTCTCTTGAGATCCTACAACACAAGCAGAGCAATGGTTATTACTAGGCATCGTTATAATTAAGGCTTGTTTTGTTCTTACAGTTCCTTCTAAGGAAAAACTGCACCCTATGTTTCTGTTCTCTGTGATTCCCTAAGTATTACTTAACTAGTACTTCTTACAATATGCTGTTATGAACTTCAAAGGATATCTTAGTGCTATTTCTTTATATAGCAGAAGTTATAATTCCATTTCACACATCTTCTCAACAAAATGCAAACAGGTCTGGAAGGAATTACAAATGACTACACTTGTAAGGCCAAAAATGAAAACATTACACACTATGAAACAATGTGCTGGCCTTTTAAACTTATGCCTGGCAGAAGACAAACTTCAAAAGCAATCATTATCAACAGTTAAATGGACTCAAATTTTGAGAGACCAAATTCAGATTTGATTTGCATAACTTTCTCAGTGTTTTCATTTTATTATTTTTTAGACTATAAAAACAGCATGTACAAACTGTTTCAATTATTACCTCTTTTTAAAAAAGATCCCCCTTGCCTTCTCAGTAATGAGTTCCTCTTTGCATGAAGTGGCTCTTTGTATTGAACAGAAGGGGTGTAACACAATTACATCTGATGTAAAGCTGACTTGAAGTGGAACTAAACAAATTTTGCTTCCAGCCTGGATGTTTTCAATTTGATTTTTTCACCCCCTCTTGCTTTTGAAGAATAATCATGTTGGAAGTATGAAATTTCAGTGAGGGCTGGCTGCTTCTTACGCATGATAAAAAGCAATTAACTCTTGATTTTTATCTACTCTTTTAATTCATAGAATCATTAAAAGGGGGAAAGGAACTATGAACCTCTCTGCCAGCTATTCCTTTAATTTATGAACTGAAGTCCACTGTAATCACATGTGATCATCAATACTCTGTTCAGGTATTTTCTTTCAATAAGATGATTTCTATTCTGTTGAAAGTAAGAGCACAAGGAATCATCTGTGTCAGATTGTAGCTAACTCCTTAGCACAAATATGTGAAAAGTGAACGAGCACTAGCCATGGAGATCCTGCAATGTTTATGTGATCATGTAAACCATAGAATAGTTCTCTTCATTCACTGTCCTCTCCATTCACTTCTCCCCACACTAAGACTATCAATTAAAAATTAGTAAATGTTGAACCCCCAAGAAGGAGAAAAAACCCTCTAAGCTATTCCTGAATTAATGTAGTTTTTGTGAGGTTTTTTTCTCCTTCCACCAAACCCTCGCAATGCCCTTTCAAAATGCTTTGCTGAATTAGGGAGGAAAATCAGCTCTCAAAGGTGCTGTATATGCAACCTTCACAGTTATGGAAACATCTTGCCATCTCATGATCCACAGGAATGGCCTCAATAGAAGTTTTCACTGCATTTGCTATGTATTACATGAATGAACACAGACAGATCTGACAGACTGGTTAATGAACCACAATTTCTATGCGGTAGTTTCATACTGTTTTCGTGCTTTCAACAAAAGTAAACATCATTGCAATGACACCTTCTAAAATTATCTTACCTCAGCCCACTCATATGAACCAATGTTCCCAAATGCTGTTCCTCCCCATGAGCAGAAAACAATGGTCCTGTCAGGTCTCCAACCTCTCTTAACCTTCAGTGTCAAGGCTTGTATCAATGCTGTGATGATAGCAGTGCTACTGGCCCATCCTTGTCCACCATAAGTATTCAGACTGCTATGATGGCTACCAATGATGATGTATCTGTCTGAAATGTGGAAAAAAAAGACAGATGAGAACCTTATTTCTTCTGGATCCTAGCATTAAAAGAATTCTAAACAACCCTAAAAAAATGAACAGTATTAGTAGCCTGTAATGTCAATCATACAACACAATGCTGTATAAAAAAAATTATATGATCACGTGCAAGACAATCATACAACATATATACATAAAACTCTAAATACTGCTTAAAATGAACTAGTAAATAAATATATGTATATACTTTCCTAACTTAATCCCAGTGCACTTGCCTTCATCGTTTGCTTAGCACCCTCCATATAGATCTGACACACAGCATTTTTACAGCCAGGACTTCATCATATAGATAATCTAATATTTTCATGCTCACATTAGAGTGTTATGAAAAAACCACAAATTAATAAGCAGGAAAATATCTTCAATGGAAATTAGCATCCAAAAAAAGAAAACAAAAGGTGTGGTAGTACAATGGGAAACATAAAGAAAATACACAAAGTATTAGTACTCCCTCACCTGGAAGACTGTGTTCAGTGCTCACCACCCTGTCTCAAAAAAGACATGGCAGAAACAGCAGTTGAGCAGCTGGTAACCAGAATGGTTATAGATCAGGACTTAGACTTCCGTGTAAGGAGACATTAAAATACCTGGACTGCAGGTTTAGAGAGGAGACATGACAGAGGAATAGAGATAATGAATGATACAGAAATGGTAAGTCAGACCTAGCAGCTTTGTTAATGCTGGAAGAAAGTATTGTATAGAATGAAAAGCAAGAAGTTCCAACCTGAAATAAGGAACATGCCTATGGTTATGTAGAAAAAAAAACCCCCACACTTTTTCAGAGAAATAAAATTAAAGCTTCATCTCTCAAGGCATTATATGTAATCCAAATGCCACTCACAAGGGAAAAAAACCCCAACCCTTATTTTATTCCAAAAACAAATGACTAGTGTGACTGATGCCTGTCAAGAAGTCAAAGCAGAGTTATGCTGAATTAAACTAATAGAACTTCTGTGTGAAATGAATTCACAACCAAAGACTCTTTGAAGGACTGCTCACTGGTTTAGTTCTGATATTTAGTAAAGTCTCTTTCTGGTCTAGATCAAGACTTTTAAAGCTTTCTTTCCATATTTCAGGATAGCAATAAAGAACAGTTCTTGAGTGATAACAATCTCTGTGTGTCATTTGGGTTTCAAAAGGTTTTGGTTTTCAATGGGATTAATTTTTGAATTGCTGTCAACACACCAGAATGTAGCAAGACATAGGTGGTAAAATGCCCACATTTTATATTTGGTTATAAAATTAAATATCTACTACTTAGTATTTTTTTGCAGTGCTTAGAAATAATTTTAATAAAACACCAACATACTGTGATTATAAAACCATTCCCTATCAAACTGGTCTTGTACCAGTATTTTTCAACAAAACACGTGACTATGTTGTTTTATAAGGAATCAAAAATGCTTTACAAAGAGGGGATACACTGTGTACCTATAACACAATATTTTCAATCAACAGCTTGGGGAGAGAGTTGGCATGCAAATGGACAATATTTTCAATCAACAGCTTGGGGAGAGAGTAGGTATGCAAATGAGAATTGCTTTCTAAGAACAGATATGCAAAGAGTTACTCTAACTGTACATAATAATTTACTGTAACAAAATGCAATGTAAATCACATAATTTTGCAACTTGTGTGTTGCACCATGAAATGATTAATTATAGGTTGCATTGACAGTAAAAGACATAGGATCTTCAACTGACTTAATGATAGGAATTTGGAACAGAAATGAATGGCCTTACAGGCTTCCAGGTCATTAGAGTAAGTGCCACTAACACAGGGGACCAGACAGGATCAATGGTTCCCTGTATAATAATCTCTATTCAGCCTGTGAACAGCCTGTGTGAAGAGCAAAGGAAGAAGACCTTACATTCAGCCTGTGAACAGCCTGTGTGAAGGGCAAAGGAAGAAGATCTTATGTAAAATAGTGTAGGACATTTTGGTGGAGAAGAAGTTGCCAGCAGCAACTTACTGTAGGAGATGCCAGCTGAATGTGTCAAAACATAACAGCTAGTGCCTCCTTTGAAATTCTTCATCTTTGCACATCTCTCCATCTTGAACAGAGACAATACGCTGAAGCAAATGGCTATGGGAAAAGCATAGGAGAAAGGACGGTCATGGTTAGGCTATGGGAAAAGCATAGGAGAAAGGATGGTCATGCTTGCAGAGGCAGCAGCTGTCCTTTCTCAGAATCACAGGGTAAGAAAAAAGAGAAAGGACTAGAAATAGTAAAAAAAATACCCATCAGATACTTTAAAAAGTGATAAGACAAGATAGTGTCCAGGGTAGTGACAGGTGGACAAAAAAAGGTCTCTTCATACTCTTTCTCTTTAAGAAAAAAGAGAAAGGACTAGAAATATTAAAAAAAATATCCATCAGATACTTTCAAAACTGATAAGAGAAGATAGTATCCAGGGTAGTGACAGGTGGACAAAAATAGGTCTCTTTATACTCTCTCTCGTTACAAATCTCATTTTCAACCATGTCCAATACAGCTATAAAATTAGTGTTATATTTTGGTGTGTGCGGACAGGGCTCTGTGTGTGTGTGTGTTGAATGCTACCAAGCATCACATTCCATCTACTCCTAAGACTTTTAACATCTTGGTTAGATTTCAGACGCTCATTCCTTCTCCTCAGATTGAATTAAGATCAAGCTAAGATCACCATTACATAGATGTGCTTGTCTGTGTGTGGGTTTTGAGCAAAAAAAAATAAGTCCACTCTTGGTGGTGCTCTGAAATCTTTCATTAAGCACTAAAGGTAAATTTGTCTTCTTTCAGCATTTCTGTGAACACGAAGGTGAATATATCAGGTATATGGAAGTAGCAAAATCCCATCAAAATGACAGAGAATCAATGTCAGGATCATCAAGATTCAAAGCAGATGAGGAGGCATGGCTGTAGTATCAACCAGGAAGACTTGAGAAAGAAACTAAGATTTAGCATTAATTCTGTAAAAAATATTATTCATGGTGCATTAGAAGTTTAACTGGTGCCGACATTAGAAGCCAGTTGCTATGGGCCTTGTCCAGCCAGACATCTACAGGACCAGCTGTTGCCATATGGGCAGTGCTATTGACTTGGCTTGATTATATATCTTTTAATGCTTAAATTTCAACATATATTGACAAATCTTTAAAAAGCAGCTTCTTAATATGGATACAATAATAAGATGAAAGATTCAGAACAGAAACTGATGCATGCTTTTTATTATTTGTCTTGCTTCTGTTTCACAATTCAATAAACAGAGTGTCTAAACATGGCAGTTTCTGCCTTTCAAATTCCATGACAGCTATTTACAAAACATTAGCAATACTAGACTGGTAACTTCAAATTCAAATCCTTTAGTGAAATTGAATTCATCATGCTAATTGTTTTTTATGTTGTTTTAAAAACAACAAAAAAAACCCCAATCTGGTGAGAAGTACAACATTCAGCACACTCAGTTGGTACTTCACCAACAGGAATATAAATTTCCTCCACCTCCTTCATTCCAACACTTAAAATATGAAACAACTGGCCCACCTCCTAAGGGAATGCAAATAAATTTGAATCCTTTCTTCTGAACCTAATAAAAAAGTATTAAGGCAACTGTGCTGATGATCATCTGTACACTAGGAATTGAACTAGGTGTACAATGCTTTGCACTATGTAAGTAACCAAGAACAATGTTCATTCATGTTGCAGAAACCCTTCACTTTTTAGGCAAACTCACCTAGAGATAAAATAATCTCAAGATGATCTTCATTCTTATGTCACCCTGATTATCATATTATCTACATGCAGTATCAAAGGAATGAAGGGGTTTGTGTTTTATGCCCCAGTTGCACTTAGAATTTATTAATTGTTAGACACAGACAACAGTAATTATTATTCATAGAATAATATAAAGCTAGCTTAAGGCATGATTGTAACACTAAATAAGGCTGCAGCAAGTGTGATGAAGATCAGTCACACTTCAGTCACAGATTTTTGTGACTAAGAATCACGTTTGCTACTAGATTCTTAACTAAGCCAGAGATCACCCTGCCCTGCAGCATGGTTTCAGAGACACTTGAATTACATAGGCATGCTGTGGACTTGAAGCACAGAGTTTTATTTGTCTCAAAATTCTGCTTGCATGTGGGGGGAAAAACACCCCAAAAATCTTTTCTAAAGTTGCATAGACAGCTTGCATATCAATTCAAACCATGCAATACAGTACACCCTAAAATTAAAACCACCAACACAGTTACTTGGTATTAGCCACCAATATGCTCTATGGTCTATGTGTAATGCCTGCTCCTTGTGTAAAAATATGCTAATTGTAACTGAAATATCCCCTTGAGTTCATTCTCTGTTTAACCCTTATGTTCTCTTTTGGCATAAATCAAATAACAAAATTACTACAACAGAGGCTCTTCCCTTCCTCTGTATTAGTGCATTACTTGGCAAAACAGAATCCTGATCCCAGCTGTGACTCCCAGCCATCATGAAATAAATAATCTATACAAATTATAAAGGACTACTCACCAGGAAATACATCTCCTTTTAAATATCCAATAACATTAGAAATAGTCTTGTAAGTTGTGACTGACTGAATATTCAGACTGATTATTTTTTTGCCTGTTAAAAGATAACAAGAAAAAATTAAACTTATTTAGCCAATCAAAAAATCTACAGACCACAGATATCAATTCCCCACACAATAAAAAAGTGAAAAAACAACCAGAGATTAAAACATGAAATATTACAAGTTTAAGACATGAAATATTACATTCTTTTCTTAGCCCCATTTTAGCAGTGTGGTTCAAAGCTAGAATCTTAAAAGTGTTCTCTACCCCTTGAGTTAAAAGATCATTGAATTCACTCAACAAATACTGCCAGATTACATGAGGAAAAAAAATTAAAGGAGTAGGATTTACATAACCCTGTGATAAAGAAATTTGTTTTAATCTTTTTAGGCTTTTTTCACCTAATCCTTCACCCAGGTCAATCTATCAATAACATTCAAAAATTATACCTGGTTTATATTACACTTTCTTCTGTAGAAACCCCACTATTTCAAATTAGGTGGGAACAGTTAGAACTCTCCATCATTAACCAGCTGCCAGCACAGCCTTTGGTGATACACTCCTGAACTTATGCCAATAGAAGTCAAGTTTTTTTGGCTTAGCTGATATCAGCTGAGGAAATGGTGTAAATACAAAAGCAGAACAATTCTAAAAGGTGCTGAAACATAAAGAATGTGCCAGTCCTGCCATGTCAGTTTAGACTGTAGCAGAAAATAAAGTCAAAGAAAAGTAAATGTCTGCATTAAAATAGATTAAAAAAATTAAGTGTCTTCTGCCCCCCCCGTGGGACACAGTAACCACACAAAATCCTACAGTTTGTGACAATGCAAACCAAACAACTAGCTACAGAGCTGCTGCTGCCTTCTAAATGTTTCGTTTGCATTATAATAGACTGTATTAACATTCACCTCATCTGAAAGGTCATAACTTCCATCTGAGAAAAATGAAAATGTCTTAAACTGCTCTAACTTGAAAGGTAGCAATTGTGTGACAATAACCACTGTGTCACCCCAGACCTTCAGGGAGTTCTCTTCCATCCAAGTACTCTCCACCCACATGACAGACCTGTGTTTGAAAGCAACTCTGAGACAGAATTCCTTCCCTGTCCATACCCCAACTGTCACAGACCAAAATTAAAATATTCCACGGATCATTTTGCTCTCTATCTCCCAGGCTATTATCCTCCCACGGATCTATTTCTAAGTTTGTTTCCAGGTTTTGTTTCCCTAGATGTGCAGAAAAAACAAATGAGGAGTTTACTGCAACATGTAAAATAAAAACAATACATCTTTACAGTGCTGTTCTTCAAGGTTCATTTGGTGGTACTTCATAGGGTAAATTTACTTTAATATTATCTTAAAATAAAATCCAATATACTTTCATTCACTTGTCTTCATTTGAAAAAAGCAAACCAACTGCTAGGACCTTTCTTTCTTTAAAAAAATGTACTAGCAGTATTCATTATTTTTTTTTATACTCACACCAAACCTCCTCTATCATCAATAGATGTGTCTTATATATATGACAATTCTGGTTTTACTTGAATGCAACAGTAAAGAAAATGCAAGTCAAGCAGTTAATTAAATATAAACCACAGCACATGACTTTGCAATAATCAACCATGGGAAGTTAATATTTTGATCTATCATGTAATTAACTTTGCCCTTCTGATGTAAGTTACTGTAAGGTTTATTAATCCCATGTAATGATGAATTGTGTTTACTCTACAAATAATCCAAAAGATTCTGAAAGGATCTTCTAAAACAATATGGAAAAATCTCAAGCTATCCATGTTGATCAAGCAGCTCAAATGTAATCTATACTATGCAATTTACTTATTGCTGCTGTTTCTCACCTACAACCATTCTAGAGCCAATTTACTCTTCCTAAAAAAAACCCAAAAGATTTTACAGTCAAAACTTATTTTCTTTCCTTTTCCTACAACACTTTAGATACGTGTTTCTTTAGGGCCCATCTCAGACAAAAAGAAGATAAATCCTTTTGAAGACAACTGACTTCACTTTTTTTCCTTAATCAACATCAGTGATCCAGTCTTCAAACGACAATAAAGAAATTGAAAATTAACTTCTGGCAATACACATATTCTAGAATCAGATATTTGAGTTAATAGTCATGTAACACAGTAGTCAGCTTAAAGTGATTTGGGCTTAAAGGCTTAGTACACCAGATAAAAAGGCTGAAAGTACTCTTTGGAGTATACAGCAGAAGTGAAATTTAATCCCTTTTAAACAGTTCTGACAACAAACCTCTCTTTCTTATGCTGTATTTTAAAGATCTTGACATCTTTCTCTTTTTTATCTGTATTCTCTGTAAAACTATGAGCAGACTTTAGCTTAACATTATTTGGGATACACTTGGAGTTTATGTAAGCCAAAAGTTACTTCAGATATAGGAGAACAGAAACATATTTATTGTTATTTTTTACTGATTTCTTTCTTGACTTGGAATCTGTACATTCACTCATACCAAATGACTACCTTCTCCTCTCACATTTACATAGTTATATTTAGAAATGCATGGTTATTTCCCACTCATTTGACTGACAATTTTAGTACTTCAGATGAACAAAAAAACTTCTACTTGCAGTAGTTATGCAGTAGTATTCTTGAATCCTGATCATGCTAAGGACCTATAATCAGACAGTTTTCTGAGCATTCCTTTGAGTACTGGATTTTGAAAAGCATCTTTAGGGACTGAGGTTTGAAAATTGAGCTCATTTCACTAGAGTTTTGCTACTCATTTACAAAAATTTCCCATGTACATTTGAAGCATGGAGTACTAACAGAATTCCAACATTTCAATAGCTCCTGGATCATAAAACCAGAAATTATTCCAGAAGACAGCAGAAAAATAAGTTCAAGTAATGCAGTTTTTAACACAATTCCTGTTGAAATCAACATAAACCACACCTGAATAAACATACATCAGTCTGAAATCATAAACTAAAGATTTCAAACAGTATGAAACATCCATGGCCATGTGACTTTAGGGGGCACTAACTGAGCTGAAGTAGTCAGGACAAAACTACATTTGACAGATTGCTTGTTCCAGTCACTTTATCCAGTCACCTTATGTCAGGCTCTAACTACTCAACTTTTTGACTACACACTACCAAGCTTTTCAGGCACACCTGAAGGCTAATGAACAAAAGCTACAGTTTTCATTTGTTCACCCCCAGTGCTGAGGTTTTTAAAGTCCTCTCAAGTACCACAGAACAGGATGGTGCAGTAAGAACTAACTGCACTCAGTGTAGAAACACCGTAAGCTATTTACATGTAACCAATAATCAAATATATAACTAACAACCAAATATTCCACAGATTTCTCATATTCTATTGGTGATAATGCAAGAAATAGTATGGACTGGTATGTAGCATTTGGAATACCCCATTAAACACAGGTATGGTAAGTAAACATTAAAACATATATAAGAGCAGATTTTACTGCCATTTGAAACAAATGCTTCATTTTCAGAAGACATTTTCTAGAGCAACTGAGTAAAATTCCAAACTACTACTAGCACCTTAAACTGCCTAGCTAATGGGCCTTTAAAATCTCACTGAGCTGTGAAAAATATATTTCAGTTAGTTCTCAGTATTTCATGATATCAATTTGAGTGCAAAATCTTATCTACTACATATTTTATGTCAGTTTTCAATTAAGTTCAAACATAGAACTTTAAATGAAGAACTGTAATTGTCATAAGCATTTATGCAACAATAGAAATTAGATCCATAATCCTACATGCAACATTATGACATACTTAGGAAAGCAAATAAACATAAAATAGTATATACTTAATAATTTATATAATCTCTGAAAAAATATGGTGTGACACTACCAAATTGCATAGGCAAAAGTCAATACTGAATCTATGCGATGTACAGTAGTTTTGAAGTAAAAATTTCTTTGTGCAGGAATATGTCAAAATTCTTAGACAGATGTCCTTGGAACAAAAAGCCTTTCCTGTTTTTGTTTGTATAAGCAATACACCATCTAGACATAGTCTCTTTAAAATCTGGTATCCCTAATATTTTTCCCATCCTGATTGCTATTTGATTAACCAACTATGTTGCCTGCTAAAAACATATTCTCCTTTTCAAATGGATATTCAGAGATCTTGAGTCACCAAGTCCAGTCTTAGCCTGAAGAGCTCAATGAATAAACTTCTTGCTAACTGATCATCTTATCTGACCTGCAATGAGGAAACCAGAAATAAAACTATTCAGATGAAGAGCTTTTGAAAACAAGCGACAACTAGAATAGTGTCCTTTAAGGAGGCTCTAAACTAGGATGGCCTAATGCAATACAGAATAAATGTGTCACAACCAATATCAAACAGAGTTGAGAATCTATCATATGGTATAGCTGAATTTCATAACCTCACGCTATTTTGACAGATTCTTCACCTGCTTTAGGGCAATCAAACCCAAAGCATCATACAGAAAAATAATGGCACAGAACAGAATTCAGAAAATATATCCCAGTTAGAATTCTGGAAGAAAAACTCTTGAGGCTTCAGGGGGGAGTAGAGAGAAGATATACAAAAAATTCTTCACACTATTCATGCTTAATTCTTTTTATCAACTTCTGTTTAAAAAGGGAACAGAAATTAAAGCCATTGCGAAAATAAAATCCGAGCCTATTGACATAAATGTCTGTAAGTTTTCACATACAGCATGTCTGAATTACATCAGACTTCCTATTTAACATGTAATTCTTTAAACATCAGTAAGAGAGATCTGCAGACCATCATTATATTCCTAATGTTATGCACAATGTCTTCAAATTTGGTACAGTAACATGCACTGCCATGCAATATATTGGTATCTTTCTCTATTGGTTTTCTTGGATTCATGTTTACCATAGTCCAAACACCTAGAAATTATAGGATTGATTGCATATTAATACCATAGTCTATGATGGCACAGGTAGAGTTTATTAGATATGGTACTCTTTCTTTCTCTGACAGGTAGCAAACTACGAAGGAGAAACACATATAACATCACAAGGCTGTAGTCTACTAAGAGGAGATATATATCCTTTATCTTTTCATGCCCTTCCTCTGACAGAAGACAGGCTTGATTTGCACTAGAGAAACAACTGGCAGAGAACTTTATTTGTCTTGGGTGATGATCGTATAATATAGAAACTGAGGGTTTCTTCCAATTATTCCTTCTGTATAATTAATGATTCAAATTTCATGTGATCAGACTTGACTATAAACTCAGTATAATGAACATCTGACATGTGGAGCTGTATAACATAGGTGTTCAAAGTCTTATAAAAATTCTTCTTTATGTTATGCCACAAACCTTTTGACTAACAGTGACTTCTGGTTATCTGTTCCACTTGCCTTTTTCGGTAGAGGAGGTGGATTTATTTGCAGTCTACAATGAAGTTTTGCATTGCAGCCACTACAATGATTCAGAATTGATCAATGACTGTATTTTGTAGCCTAAAAAAAGCTTACAAAAGATCAAAAGATTCTACCTAAAAAGCATTTCACTGGCTGTAGCAGAGTTTCTGTGAGTCTTTGTAAACCTGGCTCTATTATTTACACAGTGTTTGATATCATTCAAGTTATTTAAACTATTCATGCTTTGGCTTTAGAATTTTATAAGTTATAAAAAAATACACCTAGTTCACAGCAAAAGGCATTAAGAGATCATAAGAAATGGAATCTCCTTCTGTGTATGTCAACTCTACTGATATTTTCTGAAATAATACACCTCTAATGATCTTGGTTGATACATATTAAGAGAGAAATAGGGTTGGCTAAAGAAACTTAGAACTCTTTAAGTGTATGAATGCTTGTATTATACTTCTTGTCATTTGAGTTAGTTTGCTCAGGCACATTAGGTCAGACCAACTGACCATCTATTCCTTATCTCCAACAGTGACCAACAACATAAACGTGATGAAGAATGGAAGAATGGGATGAGCCACAGAACAGGATGATGACACAGACACAGAATGATCACTGGTGAAATCCTAGATCTTTCATATCTTCTGTTTTCTCAGTTACGAACCAGAGATGTATGAAAACCGACACTTAAAAACCCAGAGAAAAATTACACACATATCACTAATGTTTTTAACTACCAGACTTCCAGGAATTCCACCAAAGTACATGGCCATTAGTGACAAAAACAAAGACTTTGTAAATTAAATCCCACTAGACAGACTTAGATTAAATACTCAAGAGAGTCATTGAAAAGGGATGATTTGCACTTGACTGAAATCTACCAACTGACATGAAACTTAACAAATAAGGACAGTTTACTGCAACACAGCAGGACTTTCTTCATTTATGTTTATAGGAGTGCTTTAGTTTTACAACAACCTTCCCAACATTCTAACAAATATCCTAGTAATATTCTAAAAAAAAAAAAAAAAAAAAAGCAAGCTTCAAAAGTTTACAGCTTCTCTATAAAGCTTCGCTCTTAAATTCCTTCTAATTGCCTATTTTGGGGAAAAAGTTCATGGGAGCACAGAATTTCAGATTAATGAGGATTAAGCACAATGCACCATACTAAACAAAAAGCAAATCTAATTACTAACTTCATCTAACACAAAGCTAATAACTAACTTCAATTCCCACTATTTGCTTTGTAGGTTCTGAGCATTCAATTTATCTCAGATGTTTGTCTCCATATCCTCCCCCTGCTTCTGTCACATTATGTCTCTTGAAAACTGCAAGGCTAAGGGGAAAAAAGAGGTAATGTGAGAAAACTATATATAAATGTTTAATCATTACTGATGAATCTGCTGTTCAGCTTTTTGAAACATACTGATGAGAGAATGATGATAATTTTACTCCAACAAATTTTAAGTCAACCAATCATCTGAATTGCTCATTCACCTCTTCTGACAGATGAGTGATGAGTTCTACGTCAGAAGTGAAATCTCTCTCTTCAGCTTCTTCAAATCAACAGGAAGACTGCAAATTCAGCCTTCACTGTTTTCAAATGCATTGCTCTGTCCAGTGTCCACTCTTTAGCTACTACTATTCTTGAATAGTTATACACAATTTCTTATCAGTCTTTTATCTCTTCCATTAAGACTACCACTGAACACTCCAGCACGTTATATGCTCCAACACTCCAATAGTGTCACCATTCCTTCAAGCCAAAATACAGCATAATACATTACAGAATTATACTAGGCTTCTTATTATAGCCCCTATTTTCTAGGTAAATTAAGAGTTTTTAAAAAATCCCACATGGATTACTGAGGTTCAGAAGCTTTACACAAAATCTGACACAAGCTGTTGTGTTCACACAAAGTAAGCCAGACAGGCTGGCTCTTACTAGACTGCTAGCTTGGAATATTCTTTCTTTCCAGAACTTTTCTACCTCACAGAATTCCTGCCTTCTCAGGGAAATAAAACACCTGTCACATCTGTCTCAGAAAAAGTAGAATAATCTGCCCTTCAGGTGATTCTGTCCTGAAGCCTCCACACAAAGCTTTTTGAGAAACAGACACTGTGCAGCCTTTTATCATTCTAAAATGAGTGTCATTTGCCAGCCCAAATTCATGCTTTCCTCCAGGCACTTCAGCTGTTGAAAATTCCTACAATACTACCAAGCTTCACACACCTGCCTGGAATAGTTAAGCACTTGCTCCTTCCAAAATGACCTTTTCCTTTTTAAGAGCCTTTCTTTACTGGTTGTGGGGATGATCAACTCATCTTTAAAATATCTAGTCAGTCATGCATGGAGAGAGTTCTGCCTAACCACAACAGCTTAAGCCATGAAGCATGAGGTCTTCTGCCTTCCTTTTTAGTATGTATAACTACAAATGCTAACACAAGTCATAAAATTAATCAACCTTTTTTATGACTTATTGTATCGTACTTCTATTCCACAATAACTTTCCAAAAGCAATAAACAAGTGATACAGCACATATGTGATAGTACATTGGTTGCCCTTAAGATTTGTTTTTACTGTTATCATCACTGTGTGTAGCACAGGATACAGTGGCTAACTTAATTTACCTTCCCCCTTCCAAGACCATTGCTTCAAATCAAATTAATTTAAGTAGACATTATAATAAAATACACCCATTTTTTTCCTGCATTTTTTTTTCTGGCAAAAGATGGACAGGTATAAAGCAAAAATGAAGAGAGAAGAACTGTTTAAACATGCATCTCATCTAGAATGTTATCTGGAAGATGTTCCTTCAGTGAAACACTGTGCAGTGTCTCTGCTGGGAGACTGTATTCTTACCAATCCCCCCCCCCAAAATCAGCAATAAGTGTGTTCAAGCAATAATCTGTGTGACTTTGCTAATGGCATTATTTCTAAGGAGATACTCTGAATGCATCATTTCATTACGCCTACTCAAAGGAGTTTGTTCTTATCATGATGACCGTTCTGATGAAACTTGGAGAAAAAGGTGCCTGAAGGTTCAGATAACAATACATTGTTTATTCCATAGCAGATACAAATTAAGGAACATAGAGAGACACATCATGCTTAAAAATTACAGTATTATTATGCTGGAGACAGGAAAAAAACCCACAGGATAATACTGTTACTTGTACTTGAATGGTAAAATCACATTCTTAGTAGCACAACAAGGCCTAACAAACCATACTGCAGCACTAACAAAACCTCCCTAGTGATGGTACCTACATAGAGGAGGTTTTAAGTCAATACTAAGAATTAGGGCTTAATGCCCTACACTAATAGAATTCTTTTTTTAAAACCAAAACTTCCATCTATCAGACTTTAGGAGCATAATTTTTAAGCTGTTCGTAGTCTCTTCCAGAAAACAGCTAAGAAAAACATACTTATAATCAGCTAAACCTCTTAGATGCATACAGTTACAGAAAATGGATTTGGAGTCCTTGAGGAACATTCCACAGTTAGAGGAAAGAGTATTTAAAAAGCATTACCTGTAGCTGGCAGATGGAGGGGAACACACCTATCTTTTTGGACAGTGTCCTCGGGTAAGGAAACAAGTTTTCTGGCAAGAACTGCAGAAATTGGTTGTACTAACAGTGTTGTGAGGTTCACTCGATTTTGCCTGTAGCTTCCATCTTAAACAACAGAAAGAAAACAGAAATTTAGCAAATAAAAATTTCTCTCCTTCAGAAACCAACCAACCAACCAAAAAAACATAGCAAATATCTACCATACAGCTTAAAACAACTGATTTAGATATGCAGCTGTTATTTTGTACCTAGCATATTGAAAATATGTGTCTTCAAGAACATGTACCACAAAATTACATGTATATAAGAGTATCTGGGTAATAGGTCCACAGCAAAGAAACTGTCAAAGAGTCCAAGCAGATATTAGATTGTATGTGACCTTAAACCAACAAATTATATTGGTGTGTAGTTAAAGAAATAATTGAAAAATAGAATTACTGATCAGCAATAACTCATAGAATCATAGAATAGAATCATGAAATCATCAAGCTTGGAAGAAACCCTTAAGATCATCAAGTCCAACTCTCCATCTAACACTAGAAATTCAAGTAAAAGCTGAACACAGCCCTATAGAGAAGAGCAAACATTTAAACAGCCTGGAATCATGTGCTAGTATCCAACTGCACTGAATGATGCTACTACTGATAAGGCTTTGTTTTGCTTGGGGTGCCAAAATGTTTAAATTCTACACAAGTTGTTCTACTTAGCACTAAGACTGTTTTAGGGGTGAGGTATCACACAAATAAGGTTTTGTGAGAACTTTGACAAGAAAGACCCCACAAAGGAGGCATGTTGATAATATACTGGCAACTTGATGAGATGTGTTTCCTTGCATACTCCAAAAAAGCCTGACAAATTTAACATACACCATCCTCTTTTAAAGAATACAATCAAGTCACCTCACTGACACAAAGTGCAGCTAAGGTGACTATAATTTATTTTATAAATGCAGGGGTGTTACTGTGATGGAAAGCTGAAGGCTCAGCTGAGGAAGGTCTGGAATAGGAGGGTAATAGACACACATCAAATGGAGGAAGGTATGGATCAGAAAGTGTCAGAATACTTCATTTACAACTTTTAGATCTTAAGACACAGCACATACCTCTCAATATCAGCAGATTTATGCACATATTAAAATCTGCCTTGGTCTGAAAAAATGTGAGTTTCCATGCACATACCTGACCAGCATTTAATTATGGAAAGGTTTCTGATGAGATAATTAGATATTTTGGGAGACCAACTGACAGAACTGGAAAAAGAAAAGTAACTCTGTACATGGAGATGCTCTGAAGCACTTCAGGACAAAACACCTGTTTGTCTCTGCTATTTCAGCTGGCCCAATATAGGCATCATCTCTTTCCATGGAGAGCAAAAACACACTTGCAGAAGAAAAAACAAAACAAAACAAAACAAAAGCCTGCCACAAAACAGGAGTAGAGGTTGATAGCAAGGGCAGGACACAGTGCTAGAACAACCTGCAAAACTCCCAAAATTTTCCAATATACCTGTCCCTACTGAATCTTTCCCAAACTTTCAACTAGAAATTCAGAATGCAAGGCCTTTCCCTGAGACCTCTTTGAAACAAACCGCTTATTTTCTGTCAGCATGGAGTTCTTTACTACCCAAAGACATCCTTCTGTGTGACTGTAGCCACAAAGGGAAGAAGCTATCAGAAATCAGCAGCACATGTTCTAATAAATTTCTATAACACTACTATCAGGGCTGTTGTTACTGAACCACAATATAAAATAATCCAGACACATCCTCCATTTCTGAATCTTTTGTGCTGAAACTCCCGAGAATTTGTACAATATGCCCTTAATAGCAATGCAAAAGTCAACCAAAACTATATCATTTAATTATGGAAAAACAAAAAGCATTGTTCAGCTTTAATACACAGTGGCAAGGTTATCAGTGTTCACTTTGAAAGAATCAGACACATTTTTAAGTGGAAAGGTGAAACTGGTTCAAAACATTATAGTTTGTCTTAGCAAAGTTGGACTGGGTTCAAAATCTCTCGAAGTTCAGCAAGCTGATGGTAAAATCAGTTTGCCCAAGCTTTGAGATTCTGGATCAGGAAACCAAAAGAATCCTAAAATGTCCACCAGAGATGTGCAATTGAGACATTATTTTCTGTCTAATGTTTGTGACTCTGTGGACTGTATTACAGGAGCAATGAAGTGCCAAATCTAACAGATGAGAAGTATCTCTCCCTTCTCCACTTTCTCCCAACCTGAGCTTCATACATGAGTAAGCTGTGAAAGATACACTTTTGAGAACAACTTACAGGAGAACCACTACCACCTCCACCCTCTCCATGTTGAAAAATGAATCATTTCACAATAGAAGATGGGGTTTGAAGTATGGGCAAAAAAGAAGTTAAATAAATAAAAGGCAGATTTAAGCTATTTGGGCAGATTTATCTGGAAGAAAACCTAATAGGAAGAATTCATAAAGACTAGTCTGGGCAGGTGGTAAAATCTCCACATGTGAAATCTTTTGAAAGGAAAGAGTAGGCAAATGTCTGACAGAAATGACATAGGGAAGGTGCTAGTTTAGAAGACCCCTTGACATATTTTCCAGGCAATTCTCTAGTAACTGAACTTCCTGAACTATTAGCAAAAAAAAAAAAAAGGAATAAATATCAAAAAATGCAGTTTAAAAAAACCCCCAAAAGGTACAGAAAAAGTTCCTTTCCCTCTGCCAGGTATTTATTAGTTGCCACAAGAGTAGCTTGTTAAGGAGACTGAGGGAAGATAACTGCATCATGATCAGGTTTCAAAAGCACAAGATTCAAGACCAATGTCTCCAGTGCACACTTAAAAATCTGGAGATTTCCAGGGTTGCTAGTTAAAGTCCAATAATTCAGTTTTTAAATACTCATGGGCTTGATGCTGTACTGACTGTGAAACTGTGCACTGCCACTTCATAAAGAAACCAACATATCGAAAGAACTTTGAGAGATTCTTGCTGGCACGTTCTCTGCTGGATGCCAAACTCTTTGGAGCACAAAGTGCTTCCAGGATCTGTGGGAACAACAAATGCTTTGAGGATAATTTAAATTTGACATTTTGCTTGTAATGAAATTTAGTTTTATAGCAAGAAACTCTTCCAAGGAACAGAATTCCTTCTTCTCTGCAAGTCTAACAATCTAACCGTGCCAGGCCTATAACCACTATTAATTTTAGAAAGTCTCTAGAGAACATACTGTAAAGCGAGAAGAAAAATATGGTAATCAATTATTAAGTTAATTTTAGGAGCACAAAATGAGGCAATCTTTAAAAAGTTTCTGCACAGAAAGCGAGGCCTACTTTTCTCCTTTTGCAGTGACTGTGTTTTATGTTTTCTTTTTCAATGCAAGCACAAACCTTGAGCACCAGTTTCTGTACCGCTCAGTCTGGGACACACACTTGTAACCCAGTGTTTCTAAGTGCTCCATCACTTAACTTACTGGAGGTATTGGTGACATGAGCTGAGATTTCTAAAAAGTTTTTAAAGGGAGAATTTAATAGTATTACGTCTGCACCATATGCCACTCAATTCTGGGTTAAAGTACAATTTTATCATGGTTTCAGTGAGCTATGTGAGGACTGAAAAATCAGAGCACATGAAGCAAGTGTTAGTCATGTCAAAATTCTCTAGTAAAGGATAGTCATAGTATTATGCAAATAGGCTTTTATTTATATTTCTCAAAAAGGTTTTGTGCTATACAAAACAATTTTCTGTTCATTTTTGCTTAAAGTCCAAATTCAAAGAAAGATTGGACAGATTACTGTATTGTATTATCTGTTTATTAATAAAGTCACCCTCTGCCAAGATCTGAGAAAACAAAAACTTAACAACTAAAACTGTCTAAAAATTTTACTGATAGAATTCATCAAAACAATTCCTTCTTTGACCTGAGATATCATTTTAATGATGTTCCCCCCAAAATGCAGCAAAAAGTAGTCTGTCTGAACCATAATTGTACGTACCCACATCTTTGACTTTCTGCTGCATTAATAATAGAGCAGTATTAGTTTTGAAATATCTGAAGTGAATGGCTCATTAATTTTTCACCTTAAGCTTAATAGAAATTTGACAAACAGTTATATGCCGAGAATAGATACTCCAAACAGGACTTCACAGCACATGATGGTAATAATTTAGAGCATAAAAGACAGAATAGCATGTGTTTGATCAAATAAGATGATTCTGTCACTCAATTGCCTGAAGTGAACAGTTAGTTCTATGCATTTCTCTGAAAGAGGATTTCTTCCATTTATGCAGTCCCAGCCTATATTCTGCACTGTCCTTTGTCAGCACTTGATCTTGTATTAACCATGAGAAACCCAAAGATATATAAACTGATACATCACAGACATTTATACTATTTGTGCTTTGAACTTGTACAGTTTCCCCCTAACTTTGCTTATAACATTTAGCAGTTGTTAGGTTCTGCTGGTTCTTACTCAGCTAGTCACAATGATTTCACTGTACCTCCCTGCAAAATCAGTCTCTCTGTGGTTTCCCTGACTTCCATCAAACCAGACTGAAAGGGACTGTGTGGTGCCTACAACAGGGAGGCTCCACCAGCTGGTTGGTGATTCCAGGTACTAAATTCACATTACTACTGGTAATCATAAAAACATTGCCATGCAGCAGCTACTTGGTTAAATTTTCATCTTCAGCTGCTTACAGTACTGTCCATGACCAGCATTTTTAAGACAGACATGACTCTTCTAACTCAAAAAGCAGCCTTCAATTAAGCCTTCACACTAACAATTAAGATTGTTCAACAAGCCAATTAACACTGTTTGATACCAAGATTTGAAAGGGTTTTTTTGCTGCTGCTGTTTTTGCACTTTGCTCTTCCAATGAGTAGTAACACATTTTCCTAACACAAATCTTATTGAATTCCTATACACTTTTTAATGGCACTGTTAGTATGGGTACAGTCATACATATATGGAATTGCAGGGTTTGGTTCAAGCAGGTTCTAAGAACACAGATCCCATTTAGCCTCTCATATAAAACATTCCCATCTGCACTTCACAAAGCCACTGGTATCTTTTCTTTCCAAAATTTTGTCTTTGAACAAAGAAAGAAAAATAAACTGATTCTGG